TTTTAATTTTAACAATTTATAATTAAACAAAAGAAGGTATCTGATAGTATAAACATTGCTTTGAAAAAAGGCCTTAGTCAACCAGTAACTGCATCACACATAAGATCCAGTGTGCAAATCTTACAGAATCTTATTTGTCAAGAGCAGGCATATTTATTTTTGTGACAAATCCCTGGTACCCCACCTTATGGGCAACGATTTATGTGTGAAGTTGTAGCTATAGTAAAACAACTTGGAACTCCTACATGGTTTATGACTTTATCTTGTGCTGATCTAAGATGGCTAGAGTTGTTCTAAATTGTTTCCAGAATGCAAGGAAAAGATATCACTGATGAAGAAGTTGATGCTCTCTCGGATGATGAGAGATGTACAAATAGTGTGAATGAATGTGAATAATCCCTTTAGTTGACAACATGACATGTTATCAAAGAAATTGTCACAACGCATTATTGGCAGCCAAACCTGATACCAATCGCTTTGCATCTTTTCAAAAAGATATATTACCATGAAAAAGCAAAATTAAAATGCGCGCGCGTTAGATGTCACAGTAACGGACGCGTGACTCTCCCAGAACAACGAGAGTCACGCCTGCGTTACCGTGACATCGAGCGCGCGTGTTTTTCAATGCAGGGTTGCCAGATTTGAAAATTCCCAACTTTTCAAAGTGCGGGATTCCCTAACATTTTCTCTTTTCACATCATTCATTAGACATTTTTTTCTCTAAAGTATATTTGCGATAAAATAGATTTTCATGTCGTGCGACAAACTTGTTGATGTAAACCACCCTTATGCATGTAAGTGTAAACGTGGGTTGCCAAGGCAAAAGTGGCCCCGATAAAAATCACGAAGTGATTCTTGTTTAATAATCCTTCACAAAAAGTAACTCAGAAAGTTATAACGAGAGATGGTGGCAGTTAAAAATTACATTAATCGATGTGACTCTCATTTGTTAAAATCTGAACTCTTTAACACAATTTGTTCGTTTGTGAAACGTTGAGCGAAGTTTTAAGTTCTTCTATAAATATACTTTCACCTATTCTTTGCAAATCCCTTGAATTTGGACATTTCTTCCGTAAATTTCCCATCAGAAAGCGGAGGAATTTGATGAATAAAAGTCGCATTAAATCCCATTGTGCCTAGCTGGAAAAAGTCTCACTGACTTCAGCTTTTTAGTCGAAGAAAGACAGATTTACACACACCACTGCAGAAAACCAACAAGCAGCAGACTAACAACTCAAAACACACATTTGCATCACTTACAATTCGACTTTCCGTGACATTTTAAAACGGAACAGAGGTAATTATTCGAATATTAATGAGGCGTCGTTGGAAATAAACAATATTTTCCGTAAGTCAAGATCTCTGAGTTTTTTTTTTCTTTTTTAGGATGAGATCATTGCATTGGCAATTACCTCGTGTGTGTTAGTCACACCAGTAACTCTTGTTTATTCAAAAGCATACGGTTTTTTTTCTTCTTCAATTGACAGGTGTCACACGGTGACAGTTACTTGTCAAAAAATGTTTCAAAGTTTGCTCGGAAGCCTTTTCAGTTACATTTACACGTTAAAATATTTCGGTGAACGCAAAAGCCATCTCTTTGGTTTGAATAACGTCTGTATTTATCATCCACTCGCTAACAAAATTAATTGTTAAGTTTATGGAGGATTCTCCCGTAATTAAACTCGTAATTGTAGCCCTAAATCATTCGGGTTCTTTTGGCAACCATTTTGTTATGTGCTAGAAAAAAATAAATGTGGTCTGGCCTGTTTAATTGGAATGGGGGGGG